GTGTGTATAATAAGAGTTACATGATGTACAAAACGGAACAAATGTAAGACCGCAAGGTCCGAACTGCATGTCATGAAAACCTAATGTATACAAAATTGTAAGTAATGTATGCCTGTTCATGCTGTTGGCAAAATAAAGACTATATATGAAAAAAAAAAAAAAACAAGGTACACTTGAGTTTAATGAACCATTAAACGTTACAATACAAGAGTATGTATAAGAGGTTTTTTTTCTTGTGCTCAATAGTGTCACATCTAGCATTAAGAACTTTCAACCAGCAGATTTATATGTAGATTTATTTATTTTTGCTTACTATTTACAAAAGACGAGATATAGACAGCCACGCATGCATGTGAAACTATACATAATTTGGTTGTATTAAATTTATAATAAAATAATATTAACAATTTATTAATAATTGATTTCTTCATGAATTATTTGTTTCACCAGGTTCTAACCAACGTGAGGTTTGTCTCCAGTTTGTTGGATGTAGGCAGTCAGGAGGCCATAACATCTTCCAACCTTTTTTCTTCCAACTGGTGGTCCGCAGCAAATCATGTGTTAATTTCTGAGTCAATCATGAATTAAGCTTGTCATACATCTGGCTAATTAATTGAGTGCTGTACCATGAGGTAGCAGAGATACCTCAGGTGCACACATGAAGGTGTATACAGAACATGTGCATTATTATGCCATATAGAGCTGAGTTGGTCATGAGAGGTCTTCTGTGTGAGAATGTCCACCTATGACTTATAGAGTGACATAGCACATGAAATAAAATCATTAAAAAGGTAGCTACTCAGCACTAGCCACTGAGGCGTTTTGGAAAAAAATAAGTTATTTACAAAGATGGTAGTAAGGTTTTTACAGGTAATGTAAGTAAAGACAGACTTTTTAAATTAGCATGCATGGTTTAGTACAGTGATGTAGAGGTTTGTCTTGTAGGACTAAATGTCACTCCATGTGATAATCTCGTAGGATTAAGTGTCATGTTCTGAGATCAGATTCTTGGAATCTTTATTCAGCTAATCACTGTCTTACGCAAGAAAACTTGGCTGATGATATCAAAAGGGATTGCCATTATTGCACCAAGATAGAGATTGTTTTGGCTCACTAACCTTAGTCAAATAAAATTGGGATGTAGTGGAACTATAAGTGGCAATGTCCCCGGCAAGTACATGTTGTATTAAGCCATATCAATTCTTCTTTGTACATTATAGTTTTTGTTTAAGACATAAATCAGTACAGCAGGAAAGCAATCTCCTGGACAGGTAACACACAGAACACCTGTGCAGACAGACACACAGTAATAGTGATGGATACAAGTCTGGAAATTGCAGGTCATTTTCCTTGTTTAAAAAATTTAAAACATTCCCTATTCATAATCAATTAAATACACAACATATCTGTCAACCAGTGTATTAAAAGAGACGCAGTTATGAAAAACAACAAAGCAAGGTTTACCCCATCTTATTATTGGAGTATTAATCCAATACTTCAGAAATTAGAGCTCCGACATCCTCGTATGTTGTTCATGGGATGCAAAATTATCAATGCTTTAAAAAACAAAACAGATAATCTCTTGCACTCTAATAACAAATTCTCAGGGGGAAAAACCCTCCACAAAACTTGATTTTTGTTATTAATGAAAAAAAGGATACAAAAATCAAGATAAAAACAGTGAATTTGTTCTTCTTGGAAGCAAGATGTTAATATTTTATTGGTTGTGTCAGGATCCTATTCTGACAATTCAAAACATGTTTCATTTCTTCTGTTTGATTTGTATTTACAGTTCCAGTTTTCACCACTAGTGGCCTCTCTAGCCCCTAGTCACCTCAGTCTCTCTCACCTGCATGGCATGTTTTATATCTGCTATAAAAGGCCACACCCAACTCATCACATGGCCTTTACATTGAGAGAAGTTGTGTTCTGAACCTGACATGTATTCTGCTCCTGGCTCTTCCTAAAGAAAACCTTCAACCATCCTGATTTATTCCAACCCAATCTCCAATACGCACCTGCTTTTTTTTCTTTACTGGACTTTGTTTTCATATTGATTTGGTTCCAACCTGCCTGGATATTACAGACATTATTATTATTTGCAAGTATCCTCAAATACCCTGAACCTGCAGTTCTGATTTCAAACCAAAGAGGCTGATCACCTCAATTGCTGCTTTAACCCCTTTAGACCGGAGGGCGTACTATTACGCCCTATTATAGGCGGCTCTAAACGCCGCCGGGCGTAATAGTACGCCCTCTGGTCTTTCGGTACTTACCCGGTCGCCGGCGGTCCCACGCCGGCGATCGCGGTGGGGGGGACTCCCAGGGAGAGTGGGGTCCTTGCGAGGACCCCACAATCACATGGCCGGGGATAGCTGGCTTCTGTATTGCCAGCAGGGGGGCTGCCTGTAATGACAGGTGGTCCCCCTGCTGGCTGAAAATAAAATTAAAAAGAGTTAAAAGTGTAAAAAAATAAATAAAATATACTTAGATCATATATATATATGATCTAAGTATATATATACGCATATACATACACACACGTACACCGTCTAGGTGTATTTTACTATTAATATATATATAATTATATATATATATATTAATATCAAATTACACGTAGACTGATACTGATTAAATATATATATAATTATTGTTATATATATATTTATATATAATATAAAAAAATAAAAATGTAAATACGTTAAAAAATAAAATTAAAAAAATAATTAAAAATAAATAATTAAAAAATATTTAGATGTGTGTTATTTCGTTCTAACTGTATTGTGAAATTAATATATATATATCAAAATGCACGTAGAACGAAATAATATATATATCTATATACATAAATATATACGTATATATTACTATATATATATACCTATATATAAATAAAAATATTTTTAAAAAATTATATAGATATATACATATATATACACATACGTATATATATACATATATTAATTCTACATATATATTTATGTAATATTTTTACATAATTAGGTATCTTAATTAATTACAATTAGCAGGACCTGCCTGACAACCCATGCCGAAAGTAAAGGGAATTTAATTTGCGAGCACTATATTTAACCCTATAACTTTCCGAGACACCATAAAACCTGTACATGGGGGGTACTGTTCTACTCGGGAGACTTCGCTGAACACAAATATTAGTGTTTAAAAACAGTAAAATGTATTACAACGATGATATCGCCAGTAAAAGTGAAGTTTTTTGCATTTTTCACGCACAAACAGCATTACACGGACAATATTATTGCTGTGATACTTTTACTGTTTTGAAACACAAATATTTGTGTTCAGCGAAGTCTCCCGAGTACAACAGTACCCCTCATGTACAGGTTTTATGGTGTTTTCAAAAGTTACAGCGCCAAATATAAGGCTTGCGTTTCATTTTTTCACATTAAAATTCGCCAGATTGGTTACGTTGCCTTTGAGACCCTATGGTAGCCCAAGAATGAAAATTACCCCTATGATGGCATACCATTTGCAATAGTAGACAACCCAAGGTATTGCAAACGGGGTATGTCCAGTCTTTTTAGTAGCCACTTAGTCACAAACACTGGCCAAAATTGGCGTTTTTTGCATTTTTCACACACAAACAAATATTAACGCTAACTTTGGCCAGTGTTTGTGACCAAATGGCTACTAAAAAAGACTGGACATACCCCATTTGCAATACCTTGGGTTGTCTACTATTGCAAATGGTATGCCATTATGGGTGTAAATTTCATTCCTGGGCTACTATACAGTCTCAAAGGCAACGTAACCAATCTGGCGAATTTCAATTTCAAATGTAACGTGCTATATTTGACCCTGTAACTTCCCAAAATGCCATAAAACCTGTACATAGGGGGTACTGTCTTACACGTGAGACTTTACTAAATACAAATATGTGTATTTTATTGCAGTAAAAGCAAACAGTATTATGACACTGACCTTTAAAATGTCATTTAGAACTAAAAAAATCAAACAAAATCGTATTTTCTCCCATTTTTTTCATATTAAATTATGTTTCATAGCTAAATATTTGATATTAAATGAAAGCCCTGTTTCCCCTGAATAAAATGGTATATAATAAGGGTGGGTGCATTTACTATGAAAGAGGTGTATTACGGCTGGACAGACATGTAGCGCAAATGCCAGGTTTTGTTTACATTTTGTTTTGTTCACAACGTGTACATTTGGCTCCGTCCTTAAGGGGTTAACCTGTTTTACTTTATCCTTTATGTTCCTGTTTAGTTTTATCTAATTGTGTCTCCTGTAAACCTGTTTTGGGGCATGTTGCCTAAACGTCTATTTTCATACTCACCTGTAATTCTGTTTCTATGTTCTGCTTTCTCCCTTTGTCTTCATTACTCCTGTTATTCTTATTGTTACCATTGTCTAACCATGTCTAATAACTCAAATAAACTACCTGAAACCAATCCCGGGATAAATCTCTTGTCTGGCCTGATCAGTACATGACAGTTTGCATTTTTTGTTGTGCGCATGGAAACCATTTGTTTTCATAATAGGAAAAAATGTAAATGTGTCTAAAATGGAATAAAAAAATCTGCAGGTGCAGGTTACAAATATATTCCTGAAATATTTGATTAACAAGTCGTCTCTGTTTTCAATATAGGAATGTGATGCATTCGCAGGCACGTACTCATACATAGTTTAAACAGAAACAAAAATGCTGATGACATGTAAAAAGTAATTTGGCCCAACTATTATAGCAATTACATAACTAAATGCAAAGTTTTTTTTCTTGGCTCTATCACTGCTCATCATACACTATTTTGTTTAGTCATATCACAGCTCAAAGGAGACATTTGATGAGAAGCTGTGGATAATAATGTACATAATCACAATTAATAGAGCCAAACCAGTATAGGACAAGGCTGTCAGCTTTCGTTTTGTAACAGCATTGCTGGATAAAATATTGTTATCTGTTTCATCACCGAGAGACCATCCAGCAATGTCCTCAAACTCCGGCCCCCCAGATGTTGCTGAACTACAACTCCCATGATTCTCTGACTACCTATGTAATTCAAAGAATCATGGGAGTTGTAGTTCAGCAACATCTGGGGGGCCGGAGTTTGAGGACCCATGATCCAGAGAAATCAGGAAGCAAAGAATAGCAAGCTAAACCATCCAAAAGAGTAGAATTTACTTAAACTGAACAACTGGAGACAGCATGGTCCACTAAACAAACTTTGATTCTCTGGACTTCCAGTTGAACATTTTCTACTTATAGTGGCAAATCTGTTATGCAACTAAAATCTTTTAGTAAAAACAAATGATAACAAAAGCTCAATGTCATCCTCAATTAAAATGCATTTTCTCCTTTTTTTGTATTGTGTTTCAAATATGTGTATAGCACCAAGCTATAATAGTGTGGGAATGCACTCACATGGTTATGAGCTATGTTCTAGCTCCGAGGTATCAGTGTGATGTGGTATACTCACCATTCCTGGGTATTAGTGTTCCAGATGTCCTCAGTGTAATTGTAAAATATAAAAACAAATATATATAGTGCACACTGGAATATAATACAATAATACATTGAAAGGTGTCCTACTTACACAATACAGAGCAGTGTTCCTAGTATCTGTATCACAGGTGATTTAATCCCTTCCAAAGAATATGAACATGAAGATTCAAGATGACATGCAGCAACAACAAAAAAGATCTCAAAATGAATAATGCTGCTTTATTAAAAATAAAAATCTGGGGTTGCTGTATCTCTCGTGCATAGAGAACTTGCTGGCATTTTGGATCTGGACTGCCCGTGTGGGTGGGACCAGTCTGATATGCTTCAGATATGTTCTATCTGTAATGGCATAAGTTGAGCTAAAACCAGCTTGAGTTCTGAGCGGGGACCCACCGAAGGGCAGGCTATTTTAGCTGCTATCCATTCTCAGAATACTCTTGCGACCCATGTTTTGCTCTTTATTAAAAATAAACAATATAAAAGTATTAGTAAAATCCAAACAATAATGTGTTTTGCCTATGAAAGGGGCTTTGCATCAGACACATATGAACTGATAAATATTACACTGTTGTTCCTTTTTTGGCTTATTTCATACTTTACACAAATATACCTTCAAGCATACTTTGCAGACACATTTGTCTACTGGGAAAGGATTTCCGGGTGGGTTGTTTTCTGCTACCTATTGTATTCTAACCAGTTTGAAGATTCTCATACATGAGAATATCGGACTTTCAACATAAAGTTTTAATAGTAAATGAATCACCCTTAGATAAGCTTCTACTTGGTGAACATAGAAATATATTTTCTAAGATTAGGAAAGCCATATACTCTGTGAACCAAGACACAAAACCTAGATCTATTATAGAATGGGAAAAAGATATGGGGAAAACGTTTTCTTTCCAGACTGGAACAAATTCCTTCAAAGTGCTTAAAACGATCTATTCATTGTGTAAATATACAGGAGACTCTTCTTAAACACAACTTACAGATGGTATATGGTTCTTATAAAGCAGTGCAAATTTCAATCAAATACATCTAGCCTCTGCTGGTGATGCAACGGGAATCCTGGTTCATTAAAAAGTATTTGGTGGGATTGCGCTAATGTCAAATCAGAAGTTACTAAAATCTTTATAGATTTAAAATTAAATATTACTCTTACTTCTGAGCGGTTCCTATTTCATCTTGATCTTCTTTGTTTATCAAAGCTATTGTTATATTTTAGCGTACATATACTAATGACTGTGAAACTTTGTATGGCTGGATACCGGAGAAAGGAGAAGTCTCCCAATACAGAAGAAATCAGAGCTCAGATTAATTATCAAGGAGTGATGGAGAAAGCAATATTCTATAGTGTTGATAATATTCCTAAGTATAACATGAGTTGGGATATTTGGTTTGCATACTATAAGTGTTCTTAACATTTTATTTGCATCATATATTACCCTGACTTTGGCTTTTATTCCTTCAGGAGATAGTCCTCTATTCGATGTTGCTTTCTCGGATACTCCTTTAATAATATTCCTCTTTTTACTGCTCGGACTTGACTGATAGAGCTTTCTCCTACCCTCCACAGTTGTCTCAATTCCCTTTGTATATTTATGCTAGTGTCTTTTATGTCAGTATATTAATTTTAATGTATGTTACTATATTTATTTTCTTTTATTAGTCTTTTTTTTTTTTGTCTACTACTATACACTTATAATACACGTGTAATACTTTGAATAACGATAGTCATGTAAGTGCTTACTATTATTACTTGAATCTCTTGAAATTTATCTGGTGAATTAACTATGCACTTTATTGAGAATTCCACTTGAATTCATATGAAATTTCTACATGTCAATATATTTGTTTAAACTCAAATAAAAATGTAATATAAAAAAAGCTATTTACTTATTACATTCATATAAACTTACTTCCCAAGTGTCCCTATTTAGGAGGGAAAGTCCCTATTTTGTGCCCAAATTCCTCTGTCCCTCTTTTTTATTCTTTTTTTAGTTTCTTACAGTTATTTTAAAAATTATTGGAGGTAATTTTTTTTCCAGGGATCCCATAATTTAGAGAATGCTGCATGTGAATGCCTGACCTTTAAAGACAGTTCATCCATTACAGCGTTGACTTTGATTTTCTTAATAACATTGTGCAATGTCGGGGGGAGGAAGTTCCGATTTAAGCCATCTGACTGCAAGGACCCAATGGGCCGCTAGTGTGATTAAATTCAAATGTTTTTGATTATGTTTGGGAATTCCCTCAATCGGGCGAGACAAGAGGAAGATCTAAGGAGAGAGATCGATCAGTTTCCATAAGACTTCTGTCACTAGTTCCCTTATGCTCTATCAGAAGCCATGTATTTTGTGCAATCCCACCACATCTGTAGGTATGTAACTCTGTGACCACAAAGTTGCCAGCAAACCCACACTGGGGTCACGTTAACCTATTCTCTGAACCCACACTGGGGTCACGTGCCATCTGAATAGAATTTTAAACATCTGTTCTTGAGATAAGACACAGACCAAGATTTTTCCACTATCTCCCTAGAAGAGTCTCACCCAAATCTGTTTCCCATTCATCATATATCTTAGTTGTCTTTTTCATTCTAATATCTTTCTTTTCTAGGGCATCAGCCATAAAAAAAACAGGTGAGCACCATAATTATCGAATGGATGAATAATTCATCTTATAATTTGTCTTGATGTTGTGACGATAAATAGAAGAACTGCGAGGCTCTCATGGATTCTGTAGAGCATTCATTTATTTATTAAACAACACTGAATTGTAGTGAATAAAAACCAAATTACAATATTTATGCAAAAACTACTGATTTGAAAAGGTTCCCAAACTAAGCGATAGTAACAGCTTGGTTATATTTGGTTTTTAAAAACCCCAAACATTATTCTGTGAATAAACGTTTGTGTCAACATTTGTGTTCCTATTTGTTCATGGTTCCTTCTCCTTAGTGTAAAGAGAAAAAAAGCCGTAAGCTTAACTCATTATTACTAATGTCATCATTTCGTCGCCAATGTGGGAATGTAAAGAAGTAAAGTTTCCAATCCCTAAGTATGTGATTTACACATTAATAACACATGTCCCATCTCTGGAACTTACACCATTGAATAAAACATTGAAAATCACCAATAATTTATGTTAAAAAATGTTCCACCAATTACATTTACCAGTATAAACTAGCAAGCTCTCACCATAAGTCATTCTAGAATGGTGTGAAAATCCAAATATTATTTACTAAAGTGAGAATTCAAGTGAATGTAACATTTTAGGGACCACCTGATGGACCAAGTAACAGCTACCTCTCATCCTTTTGAAGAACATGGGAACCTTGGCAAGAAAGCTTATCGGACCCCCTTAGTGTTTCATTTGGGTATTCTGGGCCACCGTGTGTACCCCTGCCCTTCTCTTGTCTCCTCCCTGTCCCAGTTTGTTTATTGGTTTCCTACTTTATAAAATCAATTGACGATCAGCCCTGGCTGCCTAGCCAATATGCTTGTGACAGTACAGGCCTTGTAGGCTATATTAGCTCGGCGTTATGATTCGTTTACACCGTCTGTATTTAACATTATATTGACAAAGTTACATTGTACTGCTGTATCTTGATGTGATGTCTGTTACCATGTCCACGCGACTGATTGTTATTCCAAATAAAGAATTAAAAAAATAAATACTCACATGGGCAATCTTGAAGCAAAGGTATTCCACTTTAGCTATGTTGGCCTTGAATATGAAATTCACTTTGAATTCATGTTCAGTTCTTATTTTAGTAAATAACTCTGTCAGATCCCATTAAAGCATGGACACACATGGGTAATGTAAAAACGCCCAACACGCTTCTATATGTGAAAAATAAATTCTCTTTACTAGTGCCACAAACAACATGGGTGTCTCGACAAACACACCGGGATGTCCAAACGTTGTGATTTGTGGTACTAATAAAGAGGATTGCTGTTTTACACGTGGAAGAATGAAGAATGCAGTAATGGATCAATTCTTGCATCAGGATTCATTCCTGGATATTGTGCATGTTTACATGCCTGAAGAAATAAAGGTATTTATTTGCATACAGCAAGGAGAGCAGATTCATGTTTCCCCGTGTAAAGGTGAGTGAATATTTCACCCTGAACAACAAATTATCAGAGCAGAGAAGCTCAGTGTGAGAATACCTTGTAAATATTTTTTTTTACAGTGCAACTAAGTTACTTTTTATATATTTTTAATAATGAGTAATATGCTAATTTGTTACGTAAAACAGATTACCGTTTATTAATTATAGAAGGTTTTATATCTCATTAAATGCAAAGTGAACTCAGTAAATGGCAATAATTTATGATAATAAGCTTAATACTAGAATTAAACTAACCTCACATGCTTAAAGTGTCTATATATAGGAGACAGAGAATTCTGCTGAAATGCCCCATGGGAATATTCTAAATTCATGATAGATTAGCGGTATGATAAAGGTTATTAGCATATAAATTATTTTTAGATGCTTGCAGCATATTAGTAAAATATAAAAAAATAAATTAAAAAAGATGATAATGTCTAATAAAATGAATTTGCAAAACTGTTTGTTCTTTATCTTGTACT